GGTTCTTAAAGAGACAGAGGCCAATTTCAAGGTGTTTAAAAGAGGAAGTGATGAGAAGATAAGTTTATTTTCTATTTAAACATAAAACAGCATTTTAATAATAGCTAAAGGTGACATAGATACTTTATTATGGTATAGTATTTAAATATATGCCTGAGAAACACATAATATTGCCCCTTTAAATGTTCATTCTTTAGGATTTTAAGTTCAGACACGCTGAAATTTCTTGAATCTTGATCACAAACACAGCTTTCTCCAAACCTAAACAAGGTTTTAAATAATCTGCAACAGTTGTGTAAAAATGCAGAAACTTCAGCTCACCGGCCTGCGATTTTAAACTTTCCATTGCAGTCCGGAKGATTTCTGAGTGTTTGCACCCAGTGAGACATGAGGTCACATATTGAAGGGCCAGTTTTTTTCAATTAAGGCCTGTTTTGAATCACATCCATCTACATTATTTTGTTGTTCACCTCACTTTGCGTTGTACCCACCTTAGCAGTCGCCTTCATGTCTACAGTTTAATTCGCCGGAGTGCACTTTTGAAAATGGCATTTTGGCATTTTCTTTTAGAGGAAAACTCCTGTGCAGTTGTCAAAATATAGCTCTGGTGCTTTTAAGACGGGTCGGAGAACAAACCAACTCAGTTGGATTTGAGATGAGTTGGAAACGCCCACTAACGCTCTGATTGGCTTGGCTGTGCGACATGGCTGCTCACCTCTGCAGTCCACACGAATGATTTAAGAATCCTGTAAATGTTGTAAAAAATATTTTGAAATGCAACGCCATCCGATAAAGGACCTCTTTTTCAAAAGTAATTAGTCGGTTTCTGAGTTGTGTCTATTTGTTGATCCAAACGTAATAAGAAGTCTCTGTTTAAGGTGGGTTTTTCTTCATTTCTCAGGCAGCACGACTTGAAACATGAATGATTTATTCAGGTTTGTAGTTTCTGCACTGGGATAGCGTTATTATTTTAGAAGTTTCACTCTTCTCTTGATTTGATTAACTCAGACATCTTAACCTTCAGACTGGAGAAGTAGGGTGGGGGCGAACTTTGGAAATAAGTTCCTACACAAATTCAGGCCTGTGGATGTTAGAAGGAGTTTCATCCATCAGAGGATGAGTGGGCGATGTGTCAGTGCTGCGCACCAACAGAAGGTTCGACTCCAGCGAGCACAGCTCTGTGTCAGTGTCTGAACGGAGCCTGATTGTTGTTTTCAGACGGACGTCTAAATCAAACCAACAACAAGGAGCTGCCCTCTTTGAGAYGAAGACAAATGTGAGTTTCAGCTTCAGAGCGTCAGCAGCACACCGAGAAAAGTGCAGTTTCCTGCTCTTTTCATGGCCGCGCTCAGATCTGATTAGTATTTCATGCGGGTCACTGAGACGCTGCGTACATTTGTTGCAATATTAAATCAGTCGGGGAAGTGAATTATTCAGCTGTCCTACATTTCAGGGGGAGCTGAGGCAGCCTGTAGAGTCGGAGCAGGAGTTTCTGCACAGAGCTGGGTGTTGCGCCGTCGTTTCCACGTCTAAACTGTGTTTACAGATGGAAAACACAATAACACGGCAGAGGATAGCTGAGGGAACATTTGGTATTAAAGTCAGTGAAACATGTAAAAGGCACGTTTAAAATGTGAGCGGCGAGCACGCGGCACATTAAGCTGCTCCCCCAGGCAGCAGCTGACAGATGTTTATTGGATTTCAGTGACAGTGTCGCTCGCTAAACCTCGCCGATCCAAAGTCCTCTCTGACTCTTCTCTTCTTCTCCTCGCAGACTCCCAGTTCGCCGATGGAGAGATCTTCTTCTGCTGAGATGCAAACCCTGACCTTCTCCTCCTCTTCATCATCGTCATTATCGCCGCGACCAACTGCCACAACATCCCGGAGAGGACTGTGTTTCTGCCGAGTGCTCGTTTCCTACACTTTGTACAGAACGACACGGTGTGTCACTTTGAATCACCCAGAGAGCAACTCTACATGCAGCAGGAAATAAAAAGGAGATGTTTAGATGTTTGTTTTTATTTAAAGTGGAATGCCACTGCTTTTAGTTTGTGAAAACTATTAGATTTTAAGGGTTTTGTTCGTATTGTGGCTTTGTCCAAAATGACACTTTCTTTATGTTTAGGATTCAGACTCACTGAAAGCATTTTATGGTGAAAACAGCTCTTCGGTCTGATCGAACACGTCGGAAGTTTCACTGCTTCTGTATCTGTTAGGACCCCCCGCCCCACCCTCACTCCCAACACCTCATCCAGTCGCCCGCTGCAGTCTGCTCGTTCTACACGCAAGACCCATTTTTTTTCTTCTCTCCCCCGTGTGGCTTCGGCCGCTTGTCTGCTGAATCCAAATGCCACGCAGAAAGCAGTCTGAATGTCAGCGAGCTCCATGCGGCACCGGAAAGTCCTCACCGCTAATCGTATTCATTAACTGTTAATTGAAGGCTGAAACCACTCGGATGGGGCGGGGAAAGACGTGTCATCCTGGCAATGTTTCTGTATCCGAACAACCCGACATTGTTTCAGCGTTTCACGCCATCGTTGCCGCACACGTACCCAAAACAAGAAAAGAAAGAATTTGCGATTACCTTCGCTAATTCCTCTCGAGGTTYGTAAGCTGAACGGATTTGGCACGTGATGAGTTAAGTAATCCTTGACGATGGCTTTGGACCGTCAATCATTATTCTTGACGAGGTTTTAATTTATTTAAAATATGGATGTCTTCATGTTGGAGTGAAACTTATCTGCCTTCGTTTTTGTCCTCCCTCCATGGTAATGAAAGGATTGAGACTTGTTCTATCTCTCCATGTCAAATGGCTCAATTCATATCCTTTTAGTGTGTTGTAGAACCTTGGATGGATATTAGCCTGATCCGGGCATTATCTGCCTGTCAATGAGCTTTTATGCAGCCCTCATCTTTCATCGGAGCGCAGACAAGGGGGCTTTCCTTCATCTTTTAATTGCGTGCAAGTCTGCAGGTAGCATACTAATGACTCGAGTTTCTCCACCCTCCTTCAGCTCTTGGTTATAGCTGCAAACACACACACACACATGCACAGCTGGTAGGTTAAAAAAGTCTCTTGATTTAGAGACCAAACGTTGTGTCGCTGTTTAATGACTAAATTTGAGTTTAATCATTTCACATTATTCATTCATTGTTTTTAAGCACTTTGGTCCTAGCAGAGTTGAGTTCAGTCAAATAGATCTTTGTATTTACCTTTTTGTTTTGTTGTTGTTGGTTTGTTTTTAATCAGTGGCTGTAACGATCCAAAGAGACGTTTTGTTGCAGTGCATAAAAAGCACCGTGCTTTCATTGTATTYGAGTTGAAGATTGAAGAAGTGGCTGGTAGCTTTTACAGAGTGTTTCTTATCAAACTGGTCTTAATGTCAACGACTGTTTTTTTTTTTTTTGTGATTGCAGAGCTACCTGCTGGACAGGTAGAAAGAGGAAAAACAGGAGAAAGTAGTAAGACGACAAACAACAGAACCCCCCGCACCGCTTCCTCGCATTTCAGTGCGTGTTTGTTAACTCGCCGTCCGCGATGATGATTGGACTTCTTGTTTCAGCGTGTCCAGTAAGAGGCTCMCGGTGCCTGCCAATTATTTGCTTCATGTCTTTTGTTTATGGATTTGGTGTAATCCCGTCAAAAGAGCCGAAAGAAAAATAGACTTGTTTTTCCAAGTCTGATCACTGCGAGCCACCGCACCTAAAAACTAATATTCTGTTCTTCACGCAACAAAAACAAAGTATGGACCTTTATCTTCCTGCTTCTACCTTCTTTTTTTTTTACCCCTGCCCCCCCGCTGTGAGAAATTGTGAATTTTTTCTCAGCAGGTCATCRCCGCACAGAGATAATGCGACGAACGTGGGCTCTCACGCTCTGTGACATTTTCCTCCTGGTATTTGTAATTGACTGAAGGAACAAATAAGTTGTCAGACTGTAAATTGGTTATTCGGCGGCAGCAGTCAGCAACAGCTTTAATGTCGGGGGGAGAGGAGAGGAGGGTCGGAGGAAGAGACCCGTCGGAAACCGCAGACTCGTCTCTTGCCAGGGACAATCAGCAGACGCGAGTCAGGAAAATGAACTCTCCAATCCCGCTGATGATGAGCCTGTCCACAAGATGGGCGCGTGAGTCAGGTGAACCCCGCGTAGCCTTAAATCTTTACCATTAAAAATGCTCTAGAGTAGAAGCTGGCATCTTCTCAGGAGAAGGAGAGGAGAGCTTTTATACCTCTTGCTTTCAGTCGAAGAAATTGTACTAAACAACTGGTACACCGTTTCGTTCTCAGCAATGTAAAAAAAATATCAAAACATGTAAATATTTATGTATAAAAACAAACCCAGTGTAAAAAAAAGGAAAAAACAAAACAAATTGTTTTAATTTGTGATTTATTGCTGCATTTTGTAAGAATGTTTTATTTATGTAATATCCTCRTCCTGGGGGGTGGTGAACAATGTACAAATATATTTCTCTCACAATAAAAACAAATATAATGCACACTGTGGGCTTCTGYTCAGGAAATGTTTTTGTGCGATCGTCTCAAGTTTTTGACTCATCTGAATCAAAAAGTTCAAAAGAACTGAAGGTTTATTTAAACTCAATAACAAAATAGGTTTTTAATTTTTAATTAGCACAGGTGTTACTAAATGTGCAGTTCACTGCACAGGTACACTTTTACTTTGGCGGTTTATAGGTCAAAATAAAACTTGAAATTGGAMAAATGCGTTCTCAGATTAAAATAGATATTTATAATACATTCTTATTATTATCAAAACTAAAGAAGATATGCGAACAAAAATTATAAAATAAAATGCAGATTTTTGTTTAATAGCTAAAAAAGCTGAAATTAGTTTAAAAATGGCTTGCACAAAGAAACAGAAAAAGCACATCACAAAAGGTGAGTTTAGCTTTTAAAAAAGCTTGAATTAGCTAAAAGNGAAAAAGCACATCACAAAAGGTGAGTTTAGCTTTTAAAAAAGCTTGAATTAGCTAAAAGATAGCTAAAAACATGGAAAACAGCTGAAGTTAGCAGAAAGCAGCTAAAAGAAGCACAAAAAGTTGAAATTGGCAGTAGAAAARGGCAAGCAGAGCACCAATAACAGAGGAAGCTGAAATCAGTACAAAGGAGTTAAAAAAAAGCAGACCTAGACGAAAAGGTAGCTGCTTCTTCCTCTCAGGGTCACTGTGCCCATATCCAGCAGTCACAGTGAGGGGCGGGGTACACCCTGGACAGGTCGCAAGTCCATCAGACAGGTTTATGAACATTTTTAAATGTTTTCAGGATGTTGAAAATGACAGGAAAAGCTAATTATCTCAAAATTTCCTGAAATAAGTCATAGCCAGAGATGGTTTCTGGCTTGTTTCAGTCTGAGGACAGAAGGAGGGCAACTTATAGCAGGGCTATTCAACTGGTGGCTCATGGGCCAATTCCGGCACATCAATAAGTATTTTATTTTTTACTTGAATGACAAATATTCCCTGTGATAGACTTGCAACCTGTCCAGGGTGTACCTGCCCCTCGCACAGCAACTGCTGGAAATGGACACCAGTGACCCCCAGGACCGTGAAAGAAAGAAGCAGGTATAATATAACTGATCAATGACGGATATACAACTCGTTCTGCCTGATGACTTCATTTAATCTACAACTTGATTTTAAATAAAAAAAATAAAAGACAATTTATTTATTGATGGATGTCCGGACACTGAAGCTGTTAGCTTTCAGTAACTGTGGCACCAGGGGCATTGGCCCCAGCTGAAATCTGATTGGTCCCCTGAAGTGCCCCCTGTCCTGTCACTCATCTGTCCTTGGCCTGAAACGGGTGATGGTGTGTGCAGTTCCATGTCTAAACACTAGAGGCGCTAATGAGTCAAAYAGGAAAATCCAGCATGAATCMATCTTACAGAATTCTTCTCTTCTTAAGAAAATCTGAACAATCTTGCAGCAAAAGTATTTCAATCGATAAATAAAGGCTGCGTTTTCTCATAAGCTGTGCGTTTGAAAGCAATGTATCTGTACAGTAAAAATACATGTAAAATTGCTAAGGATAATTTMCTGTTTTTATAATGWCATKACAAGTGTTTGAACATATATKKTAAACTGTATACACCTTACCAAATCCAGGGATTTAARTGCCAGTAYGCTGAACAAATACTTAGCCCCTCTATGAAGATTGTGGCCCCTTGATGGCCCCTTATTCTGAAAAWTCCTGGATCCTCCACTGTGTGAATGAACATTTTAATTAAATAATCCTGCCTTATAGTCAGTGAGTTAACTCRTCAAGTGTGCAATATTATCCTGAAGTTCAGCCATCTGTCCAACAGCTGCAACTTACATAGATTGATAAAACAATATTCAGTAATCACCTCCTTCTTTGGACACATTTTGTTCCACTCTTATCTGTCTTCAAATCCTGAATGTTTTTTTTTCTCACTTTGTTTCGTTTTCATACAAAAGGAGAAAGAAATTAATCTGCTGTTTTGTTTCAGGAGCAGTTAAGCACCTAACTGCTAACTGGTGCTGATGCTTTGATTTGCTGTTCCCATTCGCTGCGGCGCTGGAGCTGGAGCACCGGCGCCGCAGGAAAAGGAAAGCTGACACGGATCTTGATGGATTGATGGGAGTGGCGGCACACAGGAGTGTTGGTTGCTTCTGATAAATACAGAGCAAGCTGCTTTCATCTCCCCCCGCTCAGCTCACTGCAGTGGTTCGCCTCTGGTAACCTCTGCAGTGGAGTTTATTTTTTTATTTTTTTTCTGTCTTTTTAACAGCTTGGCTGTCACATCAGGTGCATTATTGTCAGAAGTTCTTCTTCAATGTATTCCCAGGAGACAAAGCAGCAGCTGATAAGGCCAGAGTCAGTCACCGGAGAACGTGTCGATTGTTGTTGAAGCAAAACACAGGTAAAAGTTTTATCTGTTTTCAGATTACTGTGGTTATACAGGAGCGGCGAGGCTGGGAGATGCGATGACAGAAAGCAAGATAGGCCCGTCTGCTTCTGGTCGTCATGGTGACGGGGGGGATGTTGAGGCACGTTGGACCCACGCTGCAAAAACAAGTTGTGAAAAYCGGGAGATGAAGAGGGAGCACAACTACATAAATATCCCAAATTAGGAATGCCATCGTATCCTAAAAAAAAAAAAAAAATTAAATAGAAAAAGCTGCCCGTTTCTTTCAGATAAGTCGACAAAGCTGGAATTAACAATGAGAAACAGCTGAGAGTTCATGGTGCATTTTCAGATTTATGAATTATCTTTCACTGATGAGATAATTTTGGCATTGTTGGGCTAATTACTGTCACGCGATAACTCTCTAAATCTGTCTAATTGATAGTTTGAAAGCAGCTTTGAATTCAGCTGAGATAAAACAAGCAGTTTAATCAAAGCGCCATCACTTTTCAAAAGGCTGATCAGTAACAGAGCCGGCCTCTGTTTCGTTTAGAGAAGGCCCCTCTGCAGCTCGCTTCACTTTTTTTCCCTTCTCCTCCTCTCCAGTTAGATCCCTTTTCTGAAGCAGACTGAAATAAGAAATCGGTGTAGTTTGGTTACACACTAAAGCATTAAACATACAGGCTAATAAGTAGCTGCAAAACCAGAACTTTATCTTTCCGTAAAAAAGAAAAAAATATATATATACARTCCATCACCTTCTAATGTTAGTGAAACTTGTGAAAATAACCTGCTCGTGATTATACGTGATGCAAAATCTGGTGGGATCTKTTAGAGCTTGAGGTATCCTGTATGTTGTGAATCTGAAACTGTTTATCTTCATCAGTTTATCAGTTCCAAATGTACATTCAGTGTTTATTTTCTAAGAGCTTAAATAAAGTTCAACCTGGAAGGACTCACAAAGACAGACTGAAATTAGGAGGTTTGTTGACATGACTGGACCAACATGGTTATTGACATAAACAGCATTAGAGTTTGGTGCTTGGACCCCGCCAGAGGACGAGAGCGCTGAGTGAAGCTGTAATCACATAAGAGATGCTKTAAGTTCGGGGTAGAAGTTTTTGTCCCCCCGGGGCCCGACACTTGTGGTGGAGTTTAAAAGAGATGGGCGCCCTAGAATACCAATTCAATTTCAATTCAGTTTGTTTATATAGCACCAAGTCACAAAATACATTGTCTCAGGGCACTGTACATAAAAAATAACAATCTAAAGAAGAAGCTAGCAGGTTGTGTTGAATCACTCATTCATTCATTCATTCATTATTCATTCATTCATTCATTCATGATATAAATGGCACTGCATATAATACACAATAACATTAACACAAATGGATAACATTTGTGTAAATGTTATTGTGTTATCCACAAATGGATAACAAAATGGATAACACGATAAAGCATAAAGCTTATTTTCATTGTGGTCCAATGTGATGAATCACTTCATCTCAGTCTCCCATCCTGAGCAAACAGTGGAGAGGAAAAACTCCCTGCTAATCAGGAAGAAACCTCCAGCAGAACCAGGCTCAGGACAGGCGGCCATCTGCCTCGACAGGGACAGGAAAGAGACACAGGTAAACACAGAAGAACTGGTCCAGGTGCACCTACTACAGAAGATGAAGGGTGGAGGAGGGGTGGTGGTAGGTTGACGGTCAGCTGGCATGCAGCCGGGGCGATTGAGACGACWAGTTTTTATTCACTGGCAGACAGGAGCTGACTGGACGAGGCTGGGCTTGAGACGTGGAGGTCGGCAGGAGCAGGTGAGACTACCAGAGTTGAACTTACGTTTGAACTCCATTACACCCTGTTCATGAAATATTTTGTTAACACAGTTGACACTAACAGTTGTCATCCATAATTTTTCAGGATACATATCACCCAACATCTACTTTTTTAGCCGGATTTGGATTTAAAGAGACAGCCTCAAAACGAGTTGATCTGACACACACCTCAGAAACAGGGTGAAAGAGGGGCTTGACAATTAGGGATTCAGACCAACACGATGTGTTTGCACTTTATAGTAAATGTGAAAAAATGTATTTTAAAGCACAATATGTCTCATATTGACAAGTTAGGAGGGTAATAAAATAAATCCTTAAARCTCCATATTCTGACTTTGAAATRARGTTGAATTAAAATCTAAAATGCCARTAAATGGGGAYGATTGTGTATGAAAGTAATAACAATGAACCTTAACAAAATRCTGCTCATTGCACTGGATTTCAGAGGAGACAAAAAAGAAATAGGAAAATCGGGGAGCTCAATCACTCTGGTCTTCTGATTTATGAAAGAACACTCAAAGTTTGTCGTTGGTTTGGAAGATTTGAATTTTTTCTTCCTATTGGAGGCAAACAACAAACTAATAAACAAACTTGGCTTACAGTTAAAAATTAAATAAACAAATAAATTWAAAAAAATCCATACCAAAGTTTAGTACTTATTTCAACTATTTTGTTTTTAATCTCTAAAGAACTATGTTCTTTTTAATTTATATAAAATAAACAGATCTCTTAGTTGGTGGCATGATGGAACAGTGGGTATTTTTGCCTCACTTC